TTCCACCCCTTAAGAGAGTCGTCAAAGATTGTTTTGTTGTGCCGTAGTGACCTAAAGTCTACCATACAACAAGAATCCGATCTTTAGCATATTTCTGTTAGAAAAAGGAGATAAAAAGACGCGAAGACTAGCAGCGACCAAAATGAGGATACATATCAATCGATAAAATCTTGAAAAAGTGCCAGTGAGCAGAGCTATGGTCGCCAGAAATTTGAAACTGTAGGGCTTTCACACGTGGTCGACTCCAAGCATAACGGTTTCTTTTCACACAATCACGCAAACACATAAAGTTCGCTCTGTGGATTATAGTTGAGCAGAGCAGTTTCTCAATTGACAATAACAGACTGTGTAACTTAACGACAGTGCTCAAGCAGAATCAGCTTCATCAAGGATGCTAAGCTATGAAATGGCGGACGAATAAACTGCAAGTCACTATTTATGACACAAAGACATTGATACGCTTCGATTTTCAAAATTGCATAGCCGGATTTATATGCTGATACTCCGTATGCTTCGAGTTCTAGACATGTCTTAGAGCATATAATCAAAACCGGTTTTTTATCCCCATCTTTTCAGTAAAGACATGTGCTTTCTAGAAATTATGCAACAAATTTAGAAATTCCATGCTCTAATTAGACAGTGGAGTGTACAATAGCTTAATGGAATGTAGAACATAGTCAACAACATACTGTGCAAAACTTAATGTGCGAGGAAGAATAGGTTGAAACGGGCACGCGAGAGGATTCAGTTGCGTTCGCATTGATCCCGCCTGAAGGTTTATTCTAGAATGAGAGATTCCATTTACTTTACAACGACTTACTGCAGCGGTCCCAAGAAGATCTTCTACGGTGATGCGTGTGTAAGTAACAGCAGGATTTGACCATGCATTCAAAAGTGGTGGGAATACTGGTGGGGTGATCAGTGGAGGAGGCAAGCTTTGGGGTAACGGTGGACCCACTGATTTACAGGATCGCATCTCTGTAAAGTACAAAGTTAGGGCATTTGTTGCCACATCCGTAG